CTGTGCAAGTTTGTATTCTAGAGCAATAGGATACATCAGATAGCCTAGTTGCAGAGTAGATTCATTTGTGCAAATACATTCAGCGGTGTTTGCACAGTAATGAAATCACCGAAAGATACATTTCTCAGAATGTGTCTTCATCAAGGGATGTGTGACTGACTGTACGTTTTGGAGATGTGTGAGGGGGAAATGTGAGTCAGAAATTATATTTTTAGAAACTTGGTGATAGTTAGAATCATTGCATTAGGGAAAGACCAGAGACAAAGAAGTGATTTTCCTGACATTGAAAAGTGCAAAACAGTTTTTGCAAAAAGCCTGTACTTGGAGTGTGGAAGAAGCATCATAGTATATTTAGGACATGTCTTCAATTTAGAATTGGGAGTACTTGATGTTGAATTGTAAATTGGGCTGGGAAAATTAGAAGAGTCAAGGATGGTGCCTTGACTGAGTACATATACTAATATGATAATATCTTCACTTGAAGAGCAAAAGCCTAAGAATAATTTCTAAAAATATTCCCAAGGGAACACAGAAAATGACTTGGGTGTGTTAGTAGAATTTAATCAACAAAAACCTATTTTACAATAGCTTTAAATAGTTACTCACAATTTAAATTCTTAAATGAGGTGAAGAGATTTAGCAATCCATCTAATGAGTTTATTTCTCTCAAAAGAAGCCTCTGGGAAGAAATTTACACAGCGGAAAATTTTCCCCAAAGCACCAATTTTTCTTTCTTTGATAGAAGACAACACAAATGTGATATATAAACTAACCAAATTTAATTATAGTTCTTGAGTAGTAACATCGTAAGTGATCCATAAAAACCTGCAATATAAATTATTTCAATTAATAAAATAGGTATGTTGGAGAAGAGAAAATGAAGTGTAATATTAAGAACTGGCCCCTTTGATAAGTCAAAAATTTAATACTTATAATTATTCATAATGAAATCATTAAGTTTATAACCAGTCGTTCCTCTGTAAACATTCTGGTTGCTTGGAGCCAGAATTACGTTGATATCAAGCTCAATACAAGTGCAATCTTGAAGTAAATAATATTTATTACTTTTTAATTTATCTAGCCATTTTTTGTTGGTACTTCCTATAGATGCTAATACTTTGGATTAACATAGTGAATTAGACAGGCTTATTCTGTCTGATGCAATTTGTAATTGAAGCCTAAGAGAAAATTTGTTGCTTTTAATATATTTCATAAGCATTAGTGAAGAAGTTGAAGTTATTGTGGGTGTAATCACAAAGAATAAATTAAGAGTTGAGCAACTTCCAAGTGATAAAATATTATACAGGAGTTTAATAAAGAATAAGCTAAATCTCTACTTATGAACATGGAAATATTTATGGTTTTGCTAGGAGAGATATTTATAAAAATGGCCCATTGCATATTAGTGTGTATGGTTACATTTTAACATAACAATACATTTACATGTAGTCACACAAAAATTATAGAGAATATCTGCACCTGTTGGGAATAACTATTTCAGGGAAGTGTTGTGAGAATCATGGATTAGAAATGCACATAAGAGATAAAGTTAAACAGAGCATGAAAATAGATGAAGAAGGCTTCATCAGCCCTGCAGAAAATAAGACTGGTTAAATGAAGAAAGGAAAAATAGACTAACATGCCATAGAAAATATAACATTCCACACACACTTTTTTTAAATAAAAACTTTAATAGCCTGACTAATTCCAGTAAAGCTCAAATTACAGAAAATCAGAATGAATTTGAATAAGGCAGCAAGTTATTATCCATAGGTCACAAAACTAAAATAGCAATATATAGATCAATTAAATAGAATTTGGAATCCACACTTGAACTTAACCAAAAGGCCACAAGGCAGTGCAATTTAGAAACCCTTACGTTTATGGTTAAGTGAACACTGACAAGGGCACCAAGACAATTCAATAGTAAAAATTAATTTTATTCAAGAAATGGTTCTGAAATACCCAGATATTAACACACAAAAGAAATAAGAATCACTTATATTTCACTCCAGATATAGATTGCTTCAGACTTATACTTAACAAATAAGAAATTTTAAAGTATAACTTTAAGTATTTGTGATTTTAGGTTTCACAAGTTTTTAGAAATAGCACTAAAATTGAAATCAAAGGCTAAATTTAAATAAGTAGGATATGATCTAAATAATAAATGAAACTTTTTCTCTTTAAAGGACACCATCAAAATAGTGATTCACGGAATGGGAAATATTTTAAATTCTACTTTTATACGTGATTTGTATCCAAATATATAAAGAATCCTTAAAAGTCACTATGAAAAATCCAAATTACCAAACGAAAATGGACAATGATCTTAACAGATATTTGTCTACAAGACACACACACATATACAAACACACACAAATGCACATTAAGTGTATGAAAATATGACCAACATCCTCAATGATTTGTAAAACATGATTTATCACTCACCGGAATAACTATAATATAAAAGACTGACCTTTGTAAATATGGGTGAGTAGGTGAAATTGAAATCCCCATACATGGCCGGTGAAAATGTTAAGTGGTTTAACTGAGCAAGCCTGTACTCAAATGGTGGGTGTGGCGGTGAGGATCAGGAGCAGAGCTTATGTCTGGTACAGTAAAGCTGTTATTTGGAGCATCAATGACAAACTCTAGGGTCATCCATGGTCACTGAACCACAGTTTCCTTCATCCGGGGAATAATTCCTTTACTCTAATAAATGGGCCCATCTTGCTCTCTTGTCTGCTCTCCAGCCTTCTGTGTATAGGACCTGACTCTTACCTAATCTTCTGTGTTACTATGTAAGGAGATTGCGAGGCACTGAATGCATCACTGGGGAGCTTTTGGGAGCTAGTCTCAGAGATAGACTACGGATTATGCTAGCTGATATTAAAGTTTCAGGAAGGATACCATCAGCAGTTGTGTGCTAAAACTAGTACAGGGGTTAAGAGGGGCTGGGAAAAAGAATGAAATGCTTTCTGCAGTAGAAGTAACAGCAGTTAATTACTAGGAGTTCATTTCAGAGTAACAGTGGGACAACACAATATTCATTTCAGATTTTTAACACATGTTCGGAATTTTCAGCTTTCTGGTCAACAAGTCCATTGGAAAATGAATTTCTAAACAGTTGAGGATAAAGTACCAGGTGAATAATGAATACAGGAATGAAGCTCATAAAATGCTTTAGCTCACGGTAAATACATTTACTGCCCAGTTCACATATCAGAATAGGAAAGCTTAAAAATGTTAAGTAACTTGGCCAATGTCTTATAAAAAATGTTCCATGGATTCAAACGGTTTTCTGATTAGAGAGCTTACATAATTAAATATTTTTCCATTGTCTTTAAATATGATAAATGTTTTGATAAATACCTACATTATCACACCTGGGTCTATAGAATCCAGGGTATTACAGGGGAGGAGACAGAATGGCTGCAAAGTTTTATGGCTAAGGGATGAATAGGAAGTGTGCTAAAATAAAATTAGAAAATTCTAAAGGTGAACAAAGCAGAAATTGAACTTTGGTCATTAGGGGAAGAAGTTTAATGTTTTAAAGAAATGAATGCCCAGTGCTGGCTCTAGGGTAAGTATACAAATACTGTAGAAAATTGATCTGAGCCCTCAGAGGACAGTTTTGACAGGACCACGGTTAGCACAAAGAGTTCATTTCAAGAATAAAGACAAAGTAGCTTACAGGACCCAATGAGCAAGCTGAATAGACAGGGCATTAGTGCTCTGGTCGCCAGGAGAAGTCCTCTACCTACCTGCCAACCCTGGGACTGAGCATTCTTATTTCTGAAGAGGAAATGCTGCATACATACTCAGGGACGATGGCAGCCCAGTGTAAGGGATTTACTATATTAGATTCATGAAAAATACAATAAAAGCTAATTAAATACATAATAAGTGATTTAACATAGAATAGAGAAAAAAAAATAATGTATACTTACTATTTTTCCAGAGTTTATAATCAAGCTGGAAAAATCATAACTTGAAAATAAACTTCAAAAAGTACATGAATATTTTTTTTTATACATTGCTTCACTGAAAAATAAGATAACTATCTCAAATTCATCAATGTTTTAACCTCTGTGGTTGTTATGGATTACTGAGAAAGAAGAATTTAAAGGAAAATACAACTGCAAAAAGAAAAATTCTAGGCAGTATGGAAAAGTATACAGCATTTTAAATTATTTAATATTTTCTGCCTAATTTCAGTATTCCATCGGGAGTATGAAACACACATCTGAAAGGTATACAAGGGAGGGCTTTCATTAAAAACCGGGAAAATGTAGTTGGAACTTTATTAAAAATTGGCTAATAGACATTCTAGATAATTGAAATGACAGCTTGTTTTGACAGCTGCAAGCAAAAGCACTTGTTCAAAACAGTGAGTGTAAATCTTTTTAATTTCCAGAAAGAAAAACAATGTACAAGCTTAACTTAATTCAGTCAGCTTATAAAGTAAAACAAAAGGTAACTCTTCACCTAACCAGAGAAACTGGTAATTTGAGGTCCTGCCAATCCCTGCCCATTAAGGCTGGATGTGAAGGCCTTTGAATGGAAGAGGTGGTTCCCTTTAGCATCCTGGAGGAAATGGAAATCAACACAGGGGTGACCGAATATCCAAGGACTAACTTTCATAAATACCACTTCGTGTCAAATGTGGAGATCATGAAACACTTTTAGACTGTTTTGTCACTCAAATCTCCTAACAAGTAGAATGAAGTGAGAACATATTTACCATGCTCATGCCGTGCTCTTCATAGGTATTTTGTAATTATACTGTAAATGTTAAGGAGTGACATAAGAAAAATATCACAAATGAATTTCCTAAGCAACAAAACAAGCCAAATTCCAGTTTAAGAATAACTGAGAGAACATTAAAGTATATCAATTTTCCCTTGTTATGATACGGTTGCTTGATTTTATTACTTTTACACCCATAAAGGAAATCAAAAGGGCAAACAAAAGCAGATGATGAGCCAAGCCATGGCTTTTCACACTGATATTATCTTTTATTAGAAAAGCAAAAGAGAGACATAGATTTCAGACTTGGGATGTGCACTTCATCCTTTCCTGATATTTATTTTATCTGACATGGAAACAGTCTTTTTGTTGGAGACACAAAATGAGAATTAAATTTTCGCTTTTATCAGTTTCGTGTACCCATTTGCTTAATAGCATACAAAATTGGAATCCAGAAAGAGTAAAACCAGACCATGAAAAGTACATGATTGCTTATTCTGAGATTTATCTGCACATTTGGTATAAAATTCATTTGTGTAAAATGCTATGATACCCAGAATTTCCAGGAATAATTTAAACTGCATAAATATTTTCTTTAAACTGAAAAAAAGGCCTGAGAATCTTTTGGCATGGTGTGCATACCCAATGTTTCATTTTTACATGACACAATTTCAAAACTGGAGCACAACTTTTACTTATAGCAGTCAGGATCACCATCATACAATAGAGGCTTGATTTCTCTTCTCTCCGGGTACATCCACACACGGTCTTCTCCTTGCAAACCACATGGGAAAGGTAAAAGGCTGAAAAAGTATTTTAGATAATATGAATAAATGCACCTTCCTGTTTTCAGGTAAGCCTTTTCCTTTACTTAAACCATAATACTTTAAAGGTGAAAATGTTCCATTAGTTAAATTTCTCGTTTGTTTTAATCACAAGACTCATATTTCTTTGTTCATAGTTATAAAGATTTTCATTGCATATGAAATACAAGGACCATAAATTATTGACTAGTTAATATGATCCATGAACGAATTCATTGTTCTGAAAGTGGACAGATTTTCTTTCCAAGAGAAAAGTAACCTATTTAAATCCTTAAAGTTCCTGAGGTGTTATACAAGAAAATTGCTTTTAAAATTTAATAACAACAAATGTGAATGTGTATTAAATTAGATTTGCACTGTTGAAAGTATATTTCATTCAAAATTTTTAAATAACACAAAGAATTATCTTAATATATTAAATGATATTAGTAAGTTGAGCTACATCTACAGTTTTTTGAATTTAAAAAATAAAAGAATGAAAACATATTAACAAACACACATACATTTACAAAATAACACAAGAATAATACAAGCAATACTGAACTTCAGATAAGGGGATAGAAAATTAAGAACGGTTTTGTATTACATATTGATTTCTTCAGTATGGTCACTCATGAAAACAAACATAGACATGTAAGATTGATCAAATAATTAATCATTAACTATTCCTTTCA